ATGGTAGCATAGTGAGCAACACCCCTCGCTTCTGTCCCCTAGCTATCAGTAGCACATGCCCCCACGTTGTCACAATCCAAAACGTCTCCAGATACTTCCAAATGTCCCCTTGTTGACGAGGTAGAAATAGCCCTAGGTTGAGCACACTTGCTTAGACTTCAGTTCTATTTGCTGCATTGGTTCACTCTGAATGGTTCTATGGAGTGCACTGTGCACCAGACTTGAGAGAATAAAGGTGATGAAGGTCTAGTTCTGTCCTTAAGGAGCTTGTGCCTAGTGCATTTACAGTGACATGTCTGAGGAGGTCCTTGGTGGTGCACACAGATGCCTATGATTCCCCAGCAATGGCCTGATTCAAAGAAAATCCAGTTTGCCCATGTGGACATAGATCTGTCATTTCTTCTTTAAAGAACTGCCTCCTAAGGAGACAGGTATCTCTCTATAGGTCCTTCAGTTTCTGTTCCCAGAATGACCAGTACCCAGGCTTGACATTAGAGCATGTGCCTGCAGCCCATCGCAAGTTGTTGTTTTCCGGAGTAATGGGGCTCTTCCACCCTGTCTCCATGGCACCGGGGAGATCAAAGGCATATATTTCACAACAAATACTAAGGCCTGAACAGCTTAATCTTGACAGAAGGCAGAGTCTCGGGGGGGAAAATGTGGAATTTAAACAAAAATCACTCACTAATGACCTGACTCGGTATTTCTGAATTTTACATACCAAATAGAATATGCCATTCACTGATATGATGGTTATACTTAGCAGATCATGTCAAAGAGTCATTTTTTTTTTTTGTAGAAGTAGCATTTCATTTCCACTATCTCAGCTTCATGGCAAGATGGTGGTGGCCTAAATGTTGGCCCGGTAAAGGAAACATTTTCTACGGGATCTTTTCCATAAAGGTGTCAGATATCTGGGACACAAAATGATGGTGAGATTTGGGGCTGACTTTTTAAAAAATGACCTCAGTGGAACAAGAAGGAAAATAATGTCTTTTTATAATAGTAGCTCTCACATTTTCTAGGGCACAGGCCATTTTCATGAAAGATGCTTTTGAGCCTTCCTACTTTATAGTGCATAGAAACATCACCAGGAAAAATGGGGATGTGGTTCTTGGATTTAATAGGATGCTGAATTAGGGAGAGGGCTTGAGAAGAGACAGCAGGAGTCAGAGCACATTAGTTCTAGATGCAGACTCACTTTTTGTCTGTGAGACGACCTTTGATGTCATTTTCCTTTAATTTTATTAAGGCTTAACAATGAGATTCTCTCTCTGAGTCTGAGTTTCCTTACTTTAAAATAAAGGGTTTTGGCGAGATTCAAGTTCCCCAAGAATTCTCACAACCTAGGTTCTGGAAGATCTATCATAATCCACTGAACATGTAGAATTTTACACACACACACACACACACACACACACACACACGCACACACACTCGCTCAGCATACATGTGCACACAGGCCTGAGCTACCCAAGCTGGGTAAATCTGCAAAGAAACATGAAAGAGAGGGCATCACTGTTTTGAAAAGACAGGACTACAGTGAATAGAATAAATATTTCAAATTTCAAGCTCTCAGAGACTTAATATCATGGTGCAGTTGGTATAAAATGATAACAAAAATTATTCCTGGCTAATGATAGTGAATCTTTCTTGGAAATACCATTTGATATTTTGTTTGATTGGACAATTCTGGAATTTAAAATGTTCTTCGGTACTGAGTAAAACATTTTCGAGTAATGATTGATTTTTCTTGATTAAGGATAGGAGACTGGTGAATTGCTATTGGAGAAAAAAATACTAGCACTGTGGTTTCATTTGTGATACGAATGATTCTCCTTTGAATGTTGATATTCTGGAATATTCTCTTGAGTACTCTTCATTAATGTTCTGCAGTGTGCCTGGGGAACAGAGGCACTAAGCCTGGATGCTTCTTTTCCCGTGTAATAAAAAGGCACAAAAGGAACCAAAAAGAGTTCATTGCTTTTCCATGAATGTCTAAGAAGAGATTCTGAGAGATACCACATACTGGACTAATGCATTTACTTTGCAGTCAGGACTAGGTCTGACTTATTTTTTGAGACTTTGTTTAATTTTGAACCCCCGGCTCTGGTTAATCACTGACAATTTTTTCCTATCATTATAATCTGTTGAAATTTCAGACACACAAGAGGCGGTAAACTTCTTTTAAGTCCTGTTGGTAGAGTACATGTTATTCAGACAGTTTAAAAATCCACCAAGAGTGAAAAATGTGGAGGAGAGGAAATTGACCAGACCCTGGGAGTGAGAACGTGATGGGGATCAATCCAGAGGCCAAGACACAACATCCCTGGGACATACAGGCTACTCATGCTCCAGCCTGCACCCAGGCGATCCCAGGCACAGCCTTGGAATCTTTTGCAAGCCAGGCAGCCATGACCACTCAATTATCCTGGGCACTAGAGAGGAAACCTATTTCCCATTTTGGGGGACAGGATTTATGAGATTAAAAGGCAAGAAATCATGGACAGCTGAATCAAAAATATTTCTGAATACTCACCAGGCAGGTGGCCTAGAAGGTCTGATCCGAAAGATGCCTGAGACATAAATTTTACAAATGAGGAAGCTAAGTTTCAGAAGGCTGTTCCCTGACAAACACCAATATAATTGATGACAACCATAAATAGCATGTTTCAATGGCATCACCATGAACACTGTCCCACCCATCAATCAGAAGCATGCATCTGCATTTTAAAATATGCCCATAATTGCTTATTATTCAAGTTGACTGTTAGAAAAGCACTCTTGGTCCTATATACTGTGAGTAATTGAGTCTCTACTCTATATTGTTAAATGATTTGCATGATCTGGACCCCAAGGCCCTAGCATGGCAGTTCCCTCTTTTCTCATTACTGGCTATTCACAGCATCCAAAGACACGACAGAGGCCTCAACTATGCCGCCCTGGATCACTGCCAGGCCCCAGGCATTGAAGCCATACTTGCTGCAATTCTCTTTGGCTAAGAGGCACATGTTAAAATGGATACAAGGATCCCAAAGCAATTGCCTTGTAGGACACTTAAACAAAGGCGACTGAACACAAGGTGGACAAGGGAATGCTTTCAAGAACCTTGAAATTGAATTTGGAGTCACTAATACAGCTGGGAAATGATAGTGCTGAATGTCTCAAGGTCACTTGCCACAGAGAAGGGGGCCTTATTTCAAAGAAATTGCCCTGTCTTCCAAGATAAAAAGGAGACATGTATACAGCAAAAAGAAAGAGCAGCTGCTACAGAGCACTACCCAGGGAGAGCTGCAAAACAAATCATCAGTGGGAGAGGGAGTGAGGGACATCATTGGGCAAGAAGAGCTCTCTCTTTTAATTCACGGGAGAAAAAATAGGCTGGATCCAAGTGGCCATGCAGTCCCAGTAGGAACGTTTGCATTTATAGGAAAGTGGGAGGATAACATAATTTTCTCCAAGGTGCCTAGATCTATGCGTCCCTTTCACTTGCACCTGGATCATGAAGGCAGAAACTTGTTTGGAATCATCTTGGACCATACAGTTCTCACATTCAGTTCATACTCCCAGAAGTATCTTCTATATATGGATCAGATCTCCAGAAGATTCCTGGAGATAAGATTAATAGATTGAAATCTCTCTTTTCTCTGGAGATGGGGAGATATTATGGAATTCAGTTTTTCTCTGATCCTTTCCTTTAGGACTTTAAATTTCACGTATCAGGTCCTCTATGATCCCTTTTGAGTTGATGGGTGGTGTAGGGTGGGAGATATGAATCCAGATTTGAATTTGCATAGGGATACCTAATTGCTCCAGCACAATGTGCTGAAAAGACTGTCCTTTCTCCACCAAACTACCTCTTTGACTTTGAAAAGAATTAGTTAACCCAGATATGTGCCTGGCTATTTCCAGACGTTCCATCCTGTTCTACTGGTCTGTATGCCTGTCCTTTTGCTATTACTGCACAAGCTTGAAACTGTGTCTGTTTTAGTAGCCTTTTTTTTTTTTTTTGCCACTGTGACCAAAAGATGTGACAAGAACAATTTTAAAGAGTGAAAAGTTTATTTTGGGCTTACCGTTTCAGAGGTTCAGTCCATGGTTAGCTGACTCCATTTCTTTGAGCCTAAGATGAATGAGGCAGAACACCATGGAGGAGGGGTGTGAAGGAGGAAAGCAACTCAGGCAGCAAGGAGGCAGAGAGCTCACCAGGGACAAAATATAACCCCCATATACATGCCCTCAGTAGCCCACCTCCTCCAGCCACTTCCTACCTGCCTATAGTTACCTCCCAGTTAATCCCTGTCAATGGATTAAAGCATTGATTAAGTTAAGGCTCTCCTACCATGAACTTTTCACCTCTAAACATTCTTACAGTATCTTACACATGAGTTTTGTAGAGACATCTCATAACTAAATCACAGTAGAACCTTTCTAGAAAATTTTGAAGTCAAGAGATATGAGTCCTTTTCCAAATTGTTTTCTTATATAGTTCTCTTGCCTTGCCATTTACATTTTAGAATCCGCTTATCTATTTATGTACACACACACACACATATACACACACCCTGCTGGATATTTAAATTAAAATAGGATCAAATTCATATCTCTGTGTTATTGTTTTAAGGTTAACTGCCTCATGAGCTTATATTGATACTTCTATGCAATTCAAATTCAAGGTTACAAAGTTTTTAACTTAACTTCTTCTCTGTGACACCTGAGTCTCCCTTCTTCCATAACAAATGCCCTGGTTCTCCAGGACACTGAGGATGATAGGGTTAAATAATCCACAATTACTTATTTACTTTATCCCACATTGCACACATAGTCTCTGCCCGGTATACTCACATTATCACCGGCAACGTAAAGACTAATAATGTTTAAAAGCTCTTTTTGCATCTTTGTTCTCCCTCTGTTATAATTGTATGATATCTACATTGTCTGAACATATAATTGTTGTATAATAAATGCTCTCCCTTAATTAAGATTCTTTTTTCTCAAAGGCACACTTCAATCCATTTATTCAACGTTGTTATATTCTGCCTCCTTCAAAGATGATTTGAAGCTGCCTTGAAAGGGGGAAAACACAGATGAGAAAAAAATAAGGAAGCAAATATTCTAATCATAGTTTAAATATGTGTTGTGATTAAACACAATATTTGGCTCCATGCATCCCAACAGTCTAGTAGAAGATTGAAACGTGACAAGTTACATAAACCATTGTTGTTTAAAGATATTTTTAAAATTTTTATTTGCTTTTTTCCTTAAGTCCAACTACAGAAAACATTTTTCATGTTATATCTATAAAAGGCACAATTTAAGATTCATAATAGCAGTCTCAAAAGGGACTCATAGAAATGCAAAGTGAAATTAGTAGAAAAAAATCCAACACATAAAACTAAAGTACAAATCAATAAACTTGAGAGATGTTTTAGGGAAAGGATACTTATTCTATTTTTAAATACCTTGTTAGGTTAGAAATATAGTTGTTTCTATCTACATATATTTTGTATTATCTATTATAAATTACATATTGATTTTAATATGTAAAATATATACTGTATATGCATACATATTTTTTGCTTATCTAATTAGGAAGAATTCCCTGGCCAAAATATTATTTTCTAGAGCCCTAGCTGATTCTTTGAACCAAGAGAAGGCAATTATAATCAGCCACTCCTTAAAGCTGCCCAGACTCCTCTGCTACCATGCTTATGCCATGTGAAAGCAAAGTTGGCATCAAGTTCAGGAGCAAGAGGGAGAAGACATTAACTGCGGATAGAACCACATGGGAAGAAGGAGTGAATGGATGAGAACCTCTGAAGTAGACATGTGACTAGTGGAGGGCCAGTGAGAAAGGAGTCTTAGTGACTCATTCAATGAGGAGAGAGGGTCATTGTGCCCTTGTCTGCTCAATGAAAAACTCTTAAAGACCTACAGGGAACAAGCGGGCCTTAGAAAATTCTGAATTGTTAAGGGGAGGGTGGCTTCATAGACAGTAGATAGTACGATTATAGGAAAGGCATTCTGAATGGGAACAGGATATAGATAATATAGATAGGTGAAGCAAAAACAAAAGTTTCCTGTATTCTCTATAGAGCTGAAATTGTATTTGATAAAAAGTTGATTGCCAGAATATTCTGTGTGTTAAGCCGTGCTTCATGACCTTGCTTTATGAACACCATTTAGTTACTCTTTGTCTGGGAAGGGGTCCACAGGTCCATTACCAGATAACTACATTTTATTAACCAGTTAAGGGCTGATGGGCTCTCTCACAAAACCTTGAGTTTACACAGAATGGAGAATCTCACATTTTTATGCCAATGTCTTGACTTATCTCTTGTTACTCCTTATTTCATTTCAGGACTTTGAAGTCATTTTGACCTCTTAATACCTTCAGGGTCACAAGTGACCTGAAACATTCTTCACTGCACAGGGAATTGAGTGGGAACTCTTGATAGGTCTTTGGTCAATCATTTAAGAAAATACATTTCTTTTAAGACATTCCTGGAAATTTTTCATCTTACTTAATTATTCTGTGTACCCTTTTGCTTCCCACGCACGACATAGAGACATAGAGGTTAATGTGAAAGGAGCACATCAATTTACTAAAGAAATCAAGTTGTGTTACCAATAGGTATAAGGGTTAAGTTTATTATTAACACTAATATCTTATGTTCTTTCCTTATGACTCCTAAGTAATAAATTATTTGCATTCATGTATTATTGAAATTTCATGTGAATAATAACAAAAGTCCCTCACTGATAGATTCTTTACCAGCAGGAAATCAGGGTTTCACTTGAAAAGCCTAGAAGAGACATTTTCAGAGTAGTTCAAGATAGATAGAAAATTTAGTATATTGGAAAAAACAGTAGACTTGGAACCACATTCATGCTTTAATCTTATAGGTCTGGACCCTACAGTTTCCATAATATTGGATAAGTCATTGAATATCTTTTGACCTTGATTTCCCCAATTTTAAAAATTGATTTAATAATTACCTCATAAGATTATGGCCATGATGGAATGAAAAAATGTTTGACAAAGTCCTTGGTAAATACGAGGGTATTCTGTAACTGTAACCAGTCTGTGTGTGTGTGTGTGTGTGTGTGTGTGTGTGTGTGTGCGCGCGCACACACACACCTATTTATAAAACTCTGGGTCTGCTTTGTTTGCTCACAAATTCACTTCATGCTGTTCTGGGCTGGGGCCTGCCTTCGTGCTGCCATGTTTCCACAAACAGCTGTCATTCCTCCCACCTGGTGAGAATGATTGGCTTGGGGATGACCCTTCTAAGCCCTGCAGGGAGATGGAGCCAGGGAGCTGTGTGCAGAGTGAGAGACGCCCAGGCCTTGACAGTTTCTAACTCCTAAGAACAACAGCAAACCCGGCAGCTCTTCCTTTCATCTTCAGGACAGACATGGGCTGCTTTAAGATTACAGATGCTATTGATGTGGGTAGGAGCAGAAGTGACCTTACATACTAATATATTTTCATCAGCTTTTAAAAGAAATCCCTCCATCCACAGCCTCCTCTTCCTCTTATACCCAATGGTTACGTACCAAACATGCCATTAAAGAATAAATTTTTCTTTTTGCTGACAAACAAAATCAGATGCTAATCAATAGGAATTCAGTTGGCAGAGATGTTTTGCTCATCAGTGAAATTACATCTGGATCTTGTTGGCTTGATGGTAGGAAATCCTTTTGATGGGAAGTTAAAAAAAATGTTCTCTGTCACTTATCATAAGAAAAAAAAATCCCAATAATCAATCACTCAAGCAAACAAGCAAAACACACTCAGTTTTTGGGTGTTAGGAGCCAATTTTGTCACTGTTTTTCCCCACTCTTCAATTTAATACAAGTAAATAAGATACAATTAATAAATTTACTTATGCAAAATTTAAATGCTCTTTCTAGGTGATTACTCTCAAAAACAGTAAGGGCTTAACCAGGCCTGTCCTGCCCTATTGTTTTTCCCTACCTCAGCAAGTCTCTAAGTCACAACTGACCCTTTCAGTCACTTAAAGTTACTAACCTAACTTTAGCTATTGTTAACCCTTTAAAGAAAGCCGGGAATCATTAGCATCTACTAACAATAAGCCTCCCCAGGTGGTCTTACTTAAAGGTAGAACCCCCTCATCCATCACTGAGGGTCCATCATCTGAATTGTAGATCTAGGTTGAGGTTGACTTGTTATTAACTAAGCTCTTAACACATCAAAAGGAAGTCACTCATTCCCTCTTTTCACCAAATATGGTAAACATAATACACTGAGGGAAAAAAAACCTACCAAAAACATAAGCACTGATATAATTTGCAATGGCCATTAAAATAGAATATTGAATGCCACGCCCCTTTACCTTGCACTCTACCTCTCCTTTTCTCTTTTTAGCTGACCACACATTTCCATATATCTGTTTACCTTATCTGCATAGAACTCCTAAGAAATAGAACCATTAGAAGGATATTTGAGTGTTACAAGTAAGATTAGGGACTTTTCAAGATCACATTGAGATCTCAGATGCATTGAGAGAGGATGCATCTGAGATTCAAGCCCAGGTTTTGAAACACCCAAGGCAGGGTATTCTCTGTATTTCTAACTACTCCATTCTTATTTAATTTATGGATGAAATGTCTGGTGGTCCATCCAAACCTGACTGATGTGCTCACTAGAATCAGTTACAAGTACAAAAGTCCAAGCAAGCAAAACAGCATATTGGAAACAATTTCAAAATTCTGGGAGAACTACCAAAAATATCAATAAGAATAAGCATTTTCTAGCTTAATCCTTCACATAAATAGATGCTACTGCTGACAGTGTTTCTTCCCAGAGCCGGACTTCCCACTGTCAGCAAGACACATGCGGAGATATTTACAGTGATTGTGTTTTACATCACACCATCTATATCCTCGTTGGCTTTCTCAGCATTCTCTGAGCAAGATGGGATAAAAGGCTGGTATCACACAGAGATGACCTCAAAAGCCCCAGACTGGGCATTGTCAGTATCACATGTTCTTCCCAGCTCCTAGTTTTTGAATCCCTGCTCTGACAACTGGATGGATTGTTAGGCATTTGCTTGGGTATTATAGCTCGCAATGCTAAACTCACTTCTTACAGACAAGAAGTGAGTTTCCAGTCGTCCTAGCTCCAGGCTCAATCAGAGCCGATTATTTACTTGCCTGGAATCCAACAGGAAGGACCATCACCAAGGCTCACCCGAGTGCTCCAGAAATTGAGATTCACTCTGACACCAAGTTGGGTGGATGAAGTGTGGAACAGGGTATCACCATTCCAAAACCCTGAATTGCAAAACAAATAGAAACCATTTCTTAGGGAGGAGAATTAGTGGAAGGTAAAGGCTAGCAAAGGGGGCTATGAGAATGAATAAAGATATTGGTTTAACATAGGCTTAAGAAATCTAAGAGGATCCTCTTGTGGCCTTCCTTCTCTGGGCAGGCAAGCCTTTCCTCAGCAAGGTCTGTATTGAAAGTCATCCTCAGTGGTGAGCTGGCCAGGAGCCTGAGGCTGCCTTTCTGATCTCCAAGCTGATTCCAAAAAAACAGACTTACTGTTTTGCAACCTCTGCACAGTCACCAGATCCTGATGGCTCCTTAAACCTTTACACTTCTTTTGGTGCATTCGTTTGCTTTGGATGTTTTATAGGGAGTTGTGTACATGTCTGTTTACCTTTGTTTTGTGATGTCTCTGAGACAGGGTCTAGTCCTTTTAGGGAATTGTACTCAGTAACCAGGCCAGTGAAAGAGACGTAATATAGCTCTGAATTAACTAACACTGATTCTCTTTTTTATTGGTGCTCATTAATTATACAAAATGGTGGGTTTCATTGTGGTAGGTTCATACATGCACAAAAATATAAATGGATTAATTTTACTACCAAATACCTTCCCTCTGGCTCTTCTCCCCGACCCCATTCCCTTCTCTTATGCTAGTGGTCTTCTTTCTCCTTTCATATAGTTCATTTTTCCCTAACAGTGTTTCTTCTCTGGGCGATTTTGCCTCCTGCTCTGGGACAAGAGAAGTGGGAATGTTTGGAAACATTTTCGGTTGTCAGAACTTGCATTGGGCTCTGGTAGGAAGAGGCCGGGAGTCCTAGTGAATACCCTGCAATGCACAGGACAGTGTCCTACTACAAATGAGTATCCAACCCAAGGTTGAAAAACTGCTAAAAAGAACAAAACAAAACAAGCAACAACAACAAAATTACCTTCCCCAACAGATACAGCCCTATGTATCTCTTCAACTGTACTGTTTTCCTGAGACCTGACCAACGTGTCTGTCAGGAACAGAGTCCAAATGCAAACGGTGTTGTCTCTAGCCTAGAATGGCTTTCTTCCCCGACCTTACCTTGCTTCATCTTTATAATCCTTTATGAAACATGAAAGAACGAATAAGGCTTGTCTTCAGAGAAAATGCCCGTTTCTTGAGGCAGTGCTGCATAGTTATAGAGCCTGGGATGGCCTGACAGTTGAAACAGTTTAACAGTTTAACGGTTTGGGCAGCTGGCATGGGGTGCTTTCTGATTGGTGGGTAAGGATCACGTGAGTCAGCAGAACTCATCATTGGTAGGCAATGGGGAAGTTCTGATTGGTGGGTAAGGATCACATGAGTCAGCAGGACTCACCATTGGACAGCTCTTCTCGGGAGATGGGGAGGTTAGTCTTTGGAGCTGGGGCGACTCCCAACAAAACATGTTAGGGAGATTATATTACTCACATTTTACAGTTAAGGAAATTGTGGGACAATGTTTCATACCTATGAAGGGAGCTGCAAAACTCAAATCTGGAACTTCTGGTTCCATGGTCGAGTTGTAGGGGAACACGACCACTTTTAGGGCAGCCAAACATGCTGGAACTGCCAGAGTCAGCTCCAGATTATGTTAAAGTCTTTGGGAAGATAAAGAACTACTCTCTGGGAATTATTGTACACATTTCATATCTGCACTATCACACACTGAACTAAAGCTTCGAATCCTTAGACTTTTCATTTTAGACCAATAACTGAGACGTATGTAATCTATAGGCCTATAACTTAAACTAACATGTTCTTGATATATGATGACTAAATGATTAACTCATTTCCAGGACTCAAAAAAACAATATTGCAAGAGTTCTTTTTCTATTCAATTACTTGAGCCTTAATGGATATAGTAGCAAAGCCAGCCACGGCTGACTTCTGGGTATGAGGATTTAGTAAACATATAAATGAAGGATGTAGTAGGATTTATTCTCAAGGATCAGAGTTTGATTTGAGTTTTGAGAAGAAAAATATTCTAAGCAGGTAGAATTTCAGGGGGAGTGTACATGCTCTCAAAAGAATAATACACAAACACAGCCCCTGAAGCCTCCCACCAGTCATACCTGGAGCGAGGCGTATTCTTCTGTGAATGCATTTCTTCTTAACCTCCCACAGATGAAACAGAATCCAGCGTCACCTGTGATCTATTTCTCATGTAACCAGTGGTGGCAGCTTGTTTTGCATTTTTTTTTCCACCTTCTTTTTAAACATCAGACTAATCCATCATGAACAGGGACCGCTTTCATTGTATAGGTCTTTGAATTTCAGAATGCCTAATTTGTTTATCTAAATGAAAAAGAGTTTCTTTCCAAAAGAAAGTGGAAAAAGCTAAGAAGAGCTTTAGCTTCTCATTTGCACTCAAATATTAATTTTGCTTCTAGAATTTTGAGAACTATTGAAAAGCAAGTGTTCCCTGCTAGCCCCTTTCAAGGGCTGCATTGTGATGGATAAGAGAGTTGTCTGCAGGCCACAACCTCTCTGAGTTACAGCTCTTTAACCATCTTGTGGCGCAGCAGATTTGGCGATTTTCATTAGGACTTTTCTTCTCCAAGTCCTTTTAATAATTAAACAAGTGTTCTGCTCACAGGGTGCTCTGGGTTGGGTGTTTAGAATACAATTGGAGGCAATGTTCATCAATGAGCATGCTTCTTCCTTTTGAGTTACAGACAATCTCTACTTGTTATCCTTGAGCTTCTGGGTTGGTTTGGAGGGGAGACAATTTCCCTAAGTAAGACATGTCTTTCTGGACAAGTCATAAGACTGCTCCAGTACTGGGCAACGGAATTCCTGTCCACAACTACTTCTCTCCACGAAAGTTTTCTTTCTGTTCCAGCAGAAAGTCCAATAGCATATACTTGGCATATTGAGAATAATCAATTAAGTTAATCCAAAATCTGGACCTGTGGCTCATGTGTTAAGCAAAAACAATTTATAAGGATCCTACTTAGGTGTTGCTTCCTAGGATGGCCATAATTGAAGAGTGGCATTTAATTGCACTGTCGTAAGGAAGTGTGTGATCTGTGTGAATGGAAGTGAGCTGTTAAGATTTATAGAGGAAGGACAGAAATGAAGGTTGGCATGCTTAGAGAATACTCCCTTGAGTTGGTAACACTTAAACTGCACTTTAAACCTCAGAGAGCATTTAAATACATCAAAATGAAAGGGACAGAATTTCTAATCTGGAGAACAACATAAATGAAACGTTGGCATGACACAGTAGGATTGGGGGGCAGGAAATTGGTGGTGTAGGCAGCAGTTCTTTCTTACAAAAACTAAATTTTATACATAGGAGAGTGGAGAATGAGGTCATGGAAGGATAATGGGAGCAGACTGAAGACCTTTGAAAACCTATCAGAGGAATGTGGACTGGATTCCACAGGAAGAGAGTGAGTGTGGATTCTTGGAAGGGAAACTCATGGTGAGAGCGGTATTGGCATGAAAAATCCTTTCAGCAGGGCGTAGGTTGGGGGTAAGTTACAGGAACTGAGTTGTGAAGTGATGAGGATTGGTGTTCATGCTGATTGAAGAGAAAGGAAGGAGGCGGGGACAAATGCCAAAGCCCTTTCAAAGGCTTGGTGGCAGGTTGAGGGGTGCAGGAGAGGGCATCATTGGCAGTGATGCCAGGACTGGAGGTGGGACTGTTATCACCCACAGAAGGACATCTTCCTTGGGTTTAAGCAGGACCACCTGTGGCTCCAGCAGGAGAGTCCTGTTAAGCTCTCCCTGGAGAATCTGGGTGGAAAAAACAAAAGCCAGCTATCATTTTCTTGAAGCTGGTGGAAGACTAAATGGTATTTCTGAGAATAAGTCCTTTCAAATATAAAAGTTATTGATTTGATAGAGTGCTTGATTTAGTCCATTTTTTATTCTATTATACCAATGTCACTGTATAATTTTTTTTTTGAGAAATAAAATCAATAGGAAAAACATAGAGCTCCTTCTTTGTTGCTTTGTATTCTCATAATACAAGCTTCTGTCTCTCTTCCCAGGTCTACGCTCATATAGCTTTCTTCTATCCACGACATGGCCCTGCCATTCTTGACCTGACCACTGATGTGAACCTTCCTGCTAGTATAGTGAGATCAAACAGATTTCCTCTTCCTTTTTAATTGCTACTCTCAGCATTCCATTTTCCACTCAAAAACTCTTTCTATATGTTCAACTTCATTTGGGCAACTGAGTTAATTGGAAGGCAAGTTATTGTACAAATCTTGCTGTAGTCTTTATCTCAATTCTTTTTATTTTGAACCAAGTAAGCAATCTAGCTAAAAGGAGAAAGGAAAGGAAAAGTGATATTCATGCAGCTGAGGTCTCTAAGGCAATGGAAAGCAATGGGAAAAAAACTGGGAATAAATGTAACAGGCCATATTTCAATGTTTACATGCTTCTACTTGGTAATCGTTTTATTGACGGTATGTTGAAATTACACGTGTATCATACTGTTCAAACAATGTCAGATAGGTCCCTTTAAGGAAAGATCTGTAAGCTCTAATTCTTGTCTTCTGAATCAAATTAACGACTTTCTCAAGTAGGAAAAGATGAGCAATAGTGAATGGTATAGAAGAGGAGCATCAGGTTTGGTGCAGAGGTTAATCCTAAGAGAAGCTGAGGTGCTTGAGATGATTCCGAGTGGCTCTAGAAGGATGCCCTTGCTAGCATCTCTTGCTTTGCCAATGTCTCTTTTCTGATTTAGCCAAATAGAGAACTGTCCTTCAGTGTGTGGACAAATTCCAGCCTTTAAACACTGTTGGCTCTTTGCATGCAAATACCAGTGTTCTTTTGCTCAAATAGACCTGATGTTCCGTTGCCAAATACAAACGTGGCAGCAATTGCAGAGAGTTTGAATGTAATCTTTGGGACCGGTTGGAAAGACCTTTGAGAAGTGAACTCTGCCTCAGCTGTGTACCAGACTTGTGACCTAAAAGGTCACTTAATATTCTGAAACTTGATTTTTTTTTCTGTAAAATTAGAATAATAGTTACTAATTAGTTGTTTTGAGAATTAATAAGAATTTATTGAAAGGGCTTACAAAGCACCTGATAAAATATTTAATACCAATAAATATTAGCACTGAATAAAACATTATAATTTGCCATTGTATCCTATGACCTCTCTATGAGGCTGAGGGGCATCTTTTTAATGATGGAGTGCAAATATCTTAAGTTTGTTTCATATAAAAATAACTTTTTATATTTTAAACAAAGCACCTCTTCTCGTTGTCTTTAACTTTGTGAATAATATTATCCTCTTTCCAGTCAGGCTGGAAGCTCTTGGACTTTTTACTGTTTATACCAATCCTTCACCCTCTCATCCCCCAACCTAGTTAATCAATCTTCTATCATTGCCAGTTTTTCCTTGAAAATAGTGGATTTCCAACTTTATCTAGTTTATAGACTTCTTGGAGAATTGTGAAACCATGACATATTCTCCATAGTATAGTACATTCAAGTGTCCAAAACTTTATAGACCATGTTTTGTATAAATAGACATAGAGCTCCTTCAAGTGCATTATAAATAACTTAGAGCTATCCGGTGGCAAAGCTAGAGCCAAAATCTAAAACATTTCTCCACATTAGATGATCCTTGACATTTCTCTAGCCTCTATCCTAGTTTCAAGACTTCCTCATCTCTTGACTAAAGCCAACATTTTCTCCTCAATTTCACCATGACCTTTTTCCTTCCTGACTCCAGTCTGTGTCCAGAAACTTTTCTTATAGAATGACATTTTCTGTTTCAAATTCTTTTGAAATCTTTTATTGTTGCTACCAAATGCAGTTCAAATATTACCTTGCAGAACGAACTGGAGAGATTCTGAACATAGAGCTAATATGAGTTCCAGAGATCTATAGACTTTTCTAGGACTTTCAAGGTGGTTCTGAATACCAGTAAGCTCAGATCACCATTGGAGAAATATCATCCTAAACTGGTCTTTTGGGGAAAATATACTCACTCAGGATTTTGTCAAACCTAGCCTCTGTCCTTTCACCAACTTTTTGCTTGTATTTGCCCTTCAATTTAGCAAGCACTCTCCACTAGCAAAGTTCTGTTGGAAAACTGTTTATTTTCTGTTACGTAATCACAATAACCAATTCTTCTATGGATTCTTCCTTCCCCAATTTCCCTAATAAGAATGCCTTATAATCTCTTCCAAATGTATTC